GTACTTTTGTCTTCTTACCAGCAGGAATATCTGAAAGCTATGCCTACATCTATATATACACTGCTTTTATTTGTTATAAATGAAAATAAAATAAAAATCAAGTTTTTAGATTATATATATATTTAACTCAATTTATTTTGTGACAGTATTTCAGTCGAATTCGATAATAATATAAACTCGATCTTCTTTCATATATGCAAATTAGTTTTTGTTTATTTTAATTTCTTGGTGTATGTTTGTTTGTTAATTCACATGCATGTTATATATATGATGTTTTTTCTTCCTTAAATCCTTTTATATACATGTCTGCAAAATGTACGAAAATACCTACGAATTTGTAACTATGCAACTAACAATAATTTATTTCTCAAAAAAAAAAAAAATGTTCACATACATTTATAATTGAAGTGTTTCAATTTTTCACTAGGCAAAATTTTGTCCTCCAATAGTTGAGGACATAAAAGTTATCACACATATTTCATTTACTTTCACCAAAGAAACAAAAAAACCTACTCCGACACTCATAATATCTCATTTAGCGTGGGCCTTGTTTGGTTGTCAAGATAAGATTAACTAAAATCAGATTAAAAAAATTAATAAAAATCCAATTATATTTGCGAGTCGACCCCATAAGTTATATATAATTATAGAGATACCAAACATTAAACAAAGTCAAATTATTTAATTAATAATGGTTAATACACACGACAAAGGAGGCCTGATGGTATAATAATTTGAACCACATGATATAAAAAAGGAAGAGATTTTTTAATTTTGAAGAAAAAGGTTTTGTGCAAGGATTTTAGTTAAGCCGTCTGTAGACAATTATAATGCTCGTGAACTTGTTGTATATATGTACTTCACTCGTGAACTTTTCTTGTTAACTTTTTTTGTCATCACACATTAATTTTATTGTGCTGCATTCACCATAATTAGTTTGTTTTGTTTGTTAATTCTGCTAATTAAGACAGCAATACCAGTTGCTAAACCACTTTCCAAAACCATTAAACAATTAATTGCCTTCTTTCATCGTATTGAATGATTTTATCATCACAAGTACTACAAATAAATTCAATTTTGTGTTGCTACTAATATATATATACGATCTAATTTTATAGTTGTTATTTCATGATCACCAACAAACAAATGAATTGGTCCGAGTTTAGTTTTTAATTATCCTTGTTTGGAGGAAAAGACAAAATATTAGAGGTTAAATTACGAAAAAATCTCTAAACTTAGGTTAAGTTATGAAAAACACCTCCACCTATCCGTAATACTAAAATTCCTCAGACGTTTGCTTTCGTCTTACACCGACCTACTTAAGGTGCGATTTTTCACGAAATCAGCTTTTCGATTCGAGGGATTTTTTTTTTTTTTTTCAGAAAAATAAATTTTTACTACATAACAGTAAATTACCGTAGTACCCCTAAAAATTTCCAATAAAAAATAGGGCCCACCATATATATATGGGGTGCAAAACCAGTGTCTAACCTGCTTTATATAGGCATGGCAGGCACGGCCACGTCGGAATCAAAATGTCCACTGATATGCCTATTGGCCCAGCCCAATAGACCCATATTTACTGGGCCACAGGCCCAACTTATTAGCTATTTATACGAAGGCCCAATCACACCCAAAGAAAGTTGGGCCTGATAAACTGATCTCGGCCCAATCAATAAAGTATAAATACAACTTAAATTCATTGAATAAAGGTACGTTATTATTATTCAATCAATTCTTCTTGAGAAATTCTCTCTACAATTACCAACTATCCTCACGTCTGACTTGAGCGTCGGAGGGGTTTCCGCCGGATCAACCCCCGGCTTAGATTACGTGTTTTCTGTTCGCAGGACCCTAGAGCAAATTAAAGTTCTCAGGACTATCTAGCTCGTGAGCACGTGACCTACTTTGCTCTCCCAGCTTCAACACATTAGGTGATTTATTTTTTACATCATCATTTTGGCGCCGTCTGTGGGAATGCAGACCAGATCACGTAGCCAGCAAGATCCTCCTGAGTCCACTCGGAGAGAGAATGACACAGCTAACAACCTCCCAGTTCGAGGAGGCTCTGGCTTGCCACCTCCTCCACGTGCTCCGGATCCACCACGTGAGGTTCAGGTGATTCCCCCTCGGGATCCACCACTCGCCGATCCTCCACTACAGGCTCCACCTCTACCTGCTTCTCGAACGGTTCAAATAACCGAGGAGGCACTCCAACGAATGATAACAGAAGTTTCTACTCGCGCCGCCACTGATGCGGTGGCGCAATATATCGCCACGATGGCAGCAAATGCTCCCCCCGCGATCCCAGCTAACGCTCCCCCCGTGATCCCAGCTAATGCTCCACCCGCAATGCCACCCAGGGTACAGCAACCGGCCCAGAACAATGACGATCGGATAAGTGTATCCTCATCCACCTCAGATCCAAGATCCCGGATGCAGCTATCTACCAATCACAGGGAGCCACAACCCAGACAACAACGCCACCATTCGCTCCAACGGGGTGATGCGTCTCTACGAAGAGCTCATCTCTTTAATGAAGGGGAAGACGAGATAAATAGTAGAGTATCTCGCCAAAACCAGTTCCCCAGATTGAACAATCCAATTGACGGAAGAGCGCCAGTCCCAACAAGGCGCAGTCCTTTCACCCTAAACATCCTCAACGAGGTATTGCCTCAAGGAGTGAAAGTATCGGGCTTACCTCAGTTCGAAGGAACTACCGACCCGCAGGAACACATAGAGAAGTTCCACGCTATGGCAGACCTATATGGCCCGACAGATGCAGCAATGTGCAAGATGTTTCGCACCACTCTATCCAAGAGAGCCATGAATTGGTTCAACGCTCTGCCCACAGGATCAATTGACACTTTCGCTCAGTTGTCATTGCGTTTCACCAACCAATTCGCCATCAATAAGCAATATGCTAAAACTCCAGCACATCTCTTCTCTATCGTACAGAGAGACAATGAAACACTCCGCAACTACATCAGGCGTTTTGTGGAGGCTGTTCATGAAGTTCCCAGTGTAGGACAAGATATGCTCTCAGGGATTATGCAGCAAAACCTGAAGTCGGGTAGGTTCAAAGAATCTATCGCAGGAAGACCTCCTGGCAACTTAGATGAGCTGTTAAATCGAGCTGAAAAATATATACGCATAGAAGAAGCTTCTGCCAATGCTCCTCCCAAGAGGAAGAGAGAAGATGACCGCCCTGACATTAGGAGACGAGATGATCGACGTCCTCCACCCCCACCTCAAGGCCAATCATCTTCAACTTATAATCGATTCACTCCACTCAATACTCGCCTCACCGAAATACTTCATGTGATTGAACAAAAAGGTCTGGCAGAGCCTCCACGCCCAATGCAACCCAATGCGAAACGAGAAAAATCGGATCGCTATTGTCGATTCCACAGAGATAAAGGGCATACTACTGAGGAATGTGCGCAACTCAAATTGGCGATTGAGAGGTTGATCAAGCAAGGCCACTTAAGCGAATATATTGATAAGCCTCGAAATAAGCGTCGTGATGATCTTCCACGCCGAGATAACAATCGAGATCAACAACAACGACGAGAGGATGGGGGTCATCGGCGCGACCCAGATAACAATGATAACCAACCCACCCGAGGAATCATCTCTTTTATCTCCGGAGGACCGGCAGGTGGCGACTCACAAAATGCGAGACGCACCCTCGCTCGATCAGCACGCATGAATCAAGAATATGCTTCTCCATCCGCATCCGTCTATCAAATACGAAGACCTGATCATGGCATAGTCTTCAACTCCTCAGACCTTGAAGGACCAGATGAAGATCATGTCGATGCGTTGGTGATAACTGCAACGGTGGCCAACTTCATAGTTAAAAAGATACTAGTGGACGGTGGGAGCTCAGCCGACATTATGTATCTCCACACATTCAAGCAGCTAGGCATAGACAACGCACGGTTCAATCCCATCACTACACCACTGAAAGGATTCACGGGAGAAGGTGTTTTATCCATGGGGGAAGTAGAGTTACCCATCTCCTTAGGGGAAGATCCTTGCCGAGTAACGAAAATGATAAAATTCCTTATCGTCGACAAGCCATCCCCTTATAACATCATCGTGGGAAGGCCCGCGATCCATACATTCAAGTCTGTGCCTTCATCTTACCACCAAAAGTGGAAATTCCCCACTCCTTACGGGATCGGAGAGGTACTTGGAGATAGGCGTCTCGCTCGAGAATGTTATGCAAGAGCTCTACGTGAACCCTCTAAGAGACCTAATCCTTTAGGGAAAGGAGACGACAC